TTTTTTTTTTTTTTTTTTTTTTTTTTCCTGGTCATTTCAAAGCTCTTCCACACACATTTGCTTTTTTAAATTTTTTCTTTCCATTGCCCTTTCCTTTGAAGTCATTACCAGTTAATACACTTCCCCCATTCAGGAAAATGTACATACTGGCTGTCATGTTACATTGGAAGAGTTTGTCGCCAGAAAACTAGGATTCTACAGTCTACTGAATGCAGAAAGTTAAGGGGAAAATCCATCTATTTTGTATTATTTTATATCATTTACAGTACCTTCTCTTGACTCCGTGTTTGAAAGGAGATATCCTGCAGTGCTAAACCAAGATCTGTTCTGTACCGGGCTTGATAATTAATGAACTCTATTATTCCTTTACTGGGCCATCCCACAGGTGGCCTTTTAGATGTTAACCAGGGGGCCTGAAATTAAAATCAACATTTCAGTGGGCAATATTTACAATATTTCAGTGGGCAGGATTTACATTTTTACAAGCCACTTCAAAAATGTATGCAAACAGGTTAAAATTTTAACAATATGAACAGCCATGTTATGATTCAGTTGCAGTCTAATGAATTGAGAAATGAGTCACCCAGGTGGTTATTTTGATTGTCCGTTAAAAATGCATTAGTATATGCAGATTAATTTTTCCTCAGGAACGGGGTCCTTGAATTCAGAGATTGTATGTGCTCACTTGGAGAGCAAGGTTAACTGTTTGAGTGCTACACTGTAGTATCTCCCCAGTTCACAGGCCTGAGATTTGAAGCACACTGACATCTTTAGCCACAACTATTTTTTCCCTTATGTTATTGGGGTAAAACAAATTCTGTAAAGGTGAAGTAGGGGGACTATACAGAGGAAACAGGGGGGTTGATCAGAAAAATAAAGGAATGGCTATAAATAGGTTACTTTTTATGCACCCACTACTGTCAGTAGGATGTAGTCTGGACCTTTTTACCTGCAACTTTGTATAGCCAGTGCCAAATACTTTAAATGAAACAAAGCATAAGAAACTGTTCAAAGACAAGGTAAACAATCATAAATAGAGAACAGTAATTGACTTCTGTTCAGTTCTCTATTAAACTTCAATTTCTCTGTTTAAAATGCTCACCTCTTTGTTCATTTTTGCATAGTCACAAATTCTTTCAATGGAAACTCCATTGGTTTCAATTTCACATGCTTTACGGACCCAAAAATTCAGACTTTGAGTTATCTAGGGACCAATGTAAAGAAAAAATCATACTACAGAACGTTAAAGATTCTTGGCTTTGCTAAAATGAAATATAGTACACCTAGAAATTTAGGAATGCAAGAACTTTATCATAGGGAGCATCAAGATACACGTCAGAAGCTTAGATAGTCCTGGATGATACAAAGCACAAATCAAGGGCTGGTATGCAAACCTGGCTTTAAGCTTCCACTTGTACTACGTTTATCCATGGTGTTTCTCTGAGTACTTCTATCTAGAACATGCAGTCGAATAGCCTGATGGCTACTCTAAGTTGTCAGCTGCTAACTGTTACAAGATGCTGAAAAAATAGCTCAGAACTAGTATAGGGCACAGCATGTCCTGACTGTAATCCTTTTCTCAATTAATGTTCCCTTTCTCTGGTCTACTGCAGAAGGAGAATGTGTGGCTTCATGCACCCCTGGGCTGTCTGTACATGGTATACCCTGTGTACTGAGGCAGTCCTATCTGGATAAATTATGCAAGTTTTGTAGCCAAAGATTCTAACGAAAGAACAAAGCAGCTGCAATGCACCACAATGCCTGCCAAAACACTTCTATCATCCAGTGTGAAGAATTTTTTTTTTTTTTTTTTTTTTGCTGGTACTAGTGCTATTGAGTCCAGTCTGTTATAGTAGACACTAATTTTGTTTGAGCCTCAAGGTTGCCACATGGTGGCTGTAAAATGACATGCTTTTCTATGCAGCACAAATAAGCTATTGAAGTTGGTCCAAGACATTCTGAGTCCCCTAGAAACATAGGGGTGGAACATCATAGGGATGTTCACAGGTAACTATTAACCAAAGGAATCCCCAAAATTGTCACTTCAAACCCTTAACCACAATCACAAGGAGTAATATCTAAAACACCCTATGGGGTATGGACAGACATAACACTTAAAGGTTCTACACATACTTTAAAACTGAAGGGTGTTTTTAGATGTGCTTCAAGGGAGTTGCGGGGGGAGGGGCGGGAATCACACACATGCACCGCTTTAATTAAAACATCACAGCATCTCATGTATCAGCATCCCCACACATCAAAATAGTTATGGGGGCCCTTTAATTAAAGCTTGTTCAATGAGCTTTACTTAAAGTGACCCTTCTTCCATTTTGAAGTGTGAGGACACTGATACAAGGGGCCCAGAGGCTGGCTGGAGCACGCTAAATAGCATGTTCCAGCAGACTCGATTAATTGAGTCTGTTCCAATGTGCTGTTATGACTGTCGCAGCAACCTCCTGGTACGTTTACTGGCACCCCTAGACTCTAAGCATGCTATTTAACCTTCCTGGAACATTTCAAAAGCACACGAGGAAATCTAGCACTATTTTGGTCTGGTTCTCTGGGAAAGAGCTCAATGTTAGATGATGACACAGCATTCTATGTCTAGTGGCTGGTCAGTCCTCCAGGTATCCCAAACGGTGCTGCTCCTGACTACCATGCCCTGCCTCCCCACCAGCCCTACAAAATGCATCCATTCAAGGGTCTGGTCTAGAATACAGCCAGGACTCTAGTGGTTACCAAGGCCACAGTCCACAGGGGTGAAGAAGTGGACAATTTTGTGGCAGTTTCACTTGCTTGCTAGGGCTCCTAGGCAGGGAATGGGTAGCCAAGTGCTTGTGTGAAGTCCTGCTAACGGTTCCTGGGGCTGCCCCAAGAACTCTGTGGCTTTTCAACACCTGCCCTGAAAGCTATTTTGTTCATGTTCCCTTCCTGTTACGGACTTTGCAGCTGCTGGGTCCCAGGGTCATCTGGGGAGGCGGGGTAAGAGTGGAGGAGTTGCTGGGCGGGATGTGTGACCCCTGCTTGTGGTGCTCTGGGAACCCCCTAGAATTTTTTTTTTTCCTTTTTGCAAGACTTGAACTGGAAAGTGTTTTGTCAGTTTCTTTTCCCTGCAGGACCCTGTGCTGCTGATCTTGGGCTCATTTGGGACAAGGGGCAGTGGGAGTGGAGGGCTTCTCGGGTTTGGGCAGGGGGGGCTGGACACCTTGCTTGTAGTGTCCAGGAGGCAGGGTATTTCAGGACCTATCAACAACCCCCTGGCTTCTTGAGCCTCTGCCCTGGAAGCTATTTTACCTCTCTGCTACAGAACTTGGGTTCCACAGGTACCCCCTGAATGAGCCTGGGATGGGCAGCACAGGGTCTGTACAAAGAAGTGAAATTTTCAAAATGCTTTCTAAAGCAAGTCTTACAAAAACAAAAAAGGCGGAGCTCTTGGGAAGCCCCTATCACAACCAGTCTCCAATGCACCACAAGCAGAGGGTCAAACAGCTGCTCCCGCCCAGCACCCTGGCAACGCCTCAGCTACATTTTCACTTTAAATGAACCAGGGTCCATTTCCCCTCCAGGCTATTCCTGTCCCCCAACTCCCTGCCCACACTCACATCTGTGTACGCCCAGTCAGCCGCATGGATTTTAGTAAAGCGTAACAATGGTCTTTATTAAACCTAGCCAGTTTTTTTAACTTAAATGTTTTTGAGAAAAGGGAACAGAAAACTGCAACTGCAAACAATAACACCTTCCTCTTTCTGGGAATTCAGGCAATCCAGGTCTTCCTCCCCCTCTAGGGGAATCCTGGGGAAACTCCAGGCACTGACACATGGATGACATGATGGTCTAGGTACTCTATTGCCCTCGGCTGGTGTTTTGACAGCAGTGCAATCTCTAAAAGGTGATGGCTGTATCTTTTTTAGACCCTTACCAGTATACATCTCTGTCCAGGGACAACTGTGAATTGCTTCCCAATCTGTGACATTCTTGGAATAGTTTAATTGATACTTATGTCTGCGCCCCATGATGTGCCACAGGTAAAAGAAAGGGATATGAGAACAGTATCAATGTCCTAGCACTGCAAAACTCGAGAAGTAATTGGTTAATTTGTGTTCAAAAGATCCTGGGAAAGGATTGTGCCCCATGGTATGGAGGAAAGGAAAACCCATCATAATTCAGGTCAGTCAGATGTAAGGGAAGGATTCCTTCCTGATACCAAATCTTATGACCAGTATGACCCTGAGCAGGACAGCAAGACCTAAGTAAGAACACCCTACTTGTAAGAAGTAAAAATTAAACTTAACAAAACTGACAGAGTGAGTGAGTTAGCTTTCCTGCAGTCTCTGTCTTGAAACTGTGTCTATTTAAAGGTGAGACAAAATACTTCTATACCAGTTTGGCTTGTGCGTGTGTTCTTCTTCTTTCCCTAAGCTTGTGGGCTTTTGTCAGCTATTTTGTTTTGTTTGTACAGCACCTGGCACAATGATGTCTTGGTCAGTAACAAGGGTCCCTGGACACTGTGATGATGCAACTAATAAGCAGGAAGTAGGACCAAGCCATGAAGTGCTTATATTAGTGTAGGTATATTATACACACATCTTGCGTTTTTAAAAGTCTCTTTAATTAAGTTTTTATTGTCTCTAGTCATTAATCAATGCAGACTTAGTCCATCTCATTAAATCTACATCAAATATGGCCTAAGTTGTATTACTTTTCAGAAACCTAGGTTTAAGAAAACCATCTTTATTAAATAGTTTAATATTAAAACATAATGCTTTTAAACTAACATTTCCCCTTTGAAATGTCTGCATCCTAAATGCTGCAGCATTATGTAAGTGTGCCACTAAGTGAATATTTATATAGATATGAGACTGACTAGACTATCCTTTTCCAATCTGATAAAATGCTAAAAATAAACCGTATAGTAACACTTTTTTTTAAATACTATATTTAAACAATAACCATTAATATTAAACCTTATAAAACATGAATTATGAGTACTCCCTGCATTTAAAGAATTAACAGAAATTTAAAGGAAAGCATATAATAGTAAGAATAAGATTGGCTCTGTCACATCAGTGAGATTTAAAGTAAAACAGTTGTAATTGTATAGAACTTGGCCTATTAAATTCTGCTGTATTAAAATTTTTAAGATTTCACATACGATGGAATTAGGGTAAAACTGTATTATTACTTACGTTAAGTGCATAAGATATTGACAGACCCACTACAGAGGAGCTCACTGTACTTCCAGCCATCACTGCAAACAACGCAGCAAAGAAAACCATCAAGTTTCCTAGAAATTCAAGCCTGACAGCCAACCACCTGCAGTAATTGTAGCCAGAAAAACAATTAAAATGATGAATTACTTGCTAAATGTTTTTATTCTGGGATGATGATGATGATAAAACAATTAGTTCACTGTTTTTTCCATTTTTCAAAAGTAGATCTTGATGTGCTTTCCAAAGAGAGTAGTACCGTCCTTCCCATTTTAGGGACAGGAAAACTGAGGCACAGAGGAACTGACCTAGAACTGCCCTAGTTCTCCTGAATTCCAGTCTAGGGCTCCTTTCTCTAAGTTACACAACTCCCTATTGATGTGAAAAAGATGGGAGCTGACTTCCCAGTATAGCTCTGTTTTATAGTTTACTAACTTTAGGCCTCTTTTACTCCTTCAGAACTAAGCATTCCCGCTTGGATCTGTACATGACAGTTTGCTGGAGGTGGAATAAAATTCCCAATAACTTCCCCATAGGGCCAGGATTTCACTCTTAATGTTCTCAGAGTAACATACAAAAAAAGTACTTTACTCAGTTTATAATTTTTTTTTACCTGGAATGCATTTCTCATTTCTAATTAGTAGGTACAGGATCTTCCAACACTCACCATCAACTTATCTGACTCTTGTTCTCAGTAATTTGGAGAACATCTACCTGTTTTAACCAAATGCAGCTGATGCATTCAAGCAACATGAAACAGCCTTGTCTAAAATTCAGCTTTAACAAATGATCTCTTTGCATGGAATAACTTTTAAGTGCAATACTTATGAAATATACATTTTCTAAACATCCTTTTATAAAGTCACATAAAGAAAAATTAGTCACAACTTAAAATGCTCTTAAAATCCAATAGCTATTAATGGGCTTTACTGTTGTGAAATATTCTTGTCCTAGATGATACACAATTATTTCCATAAAGTAATTTAATCATGGCACATTGTGTAGGATGTAACTTGATGCAAATTCTGAAATCGGCAATCAAAAATGCTGGATAAGTATAGTACTTAAACTTACTAGGTTTTTTTTTCCTTTTCACAATGATTCTACTTCCATTTGAATTAAAATTTTATGTGGCTATTGATTCCACCCTGGGCAGGTTTTTGGTTCAAAATGTGCAATAAGTTTCAGACTGTTTATACAGTACCTATTTGAGATGACATTGTTGTAGAAGTAAACCACGTTCTCATTTACCACATCTTTATTCTGTCTAACGAATCTTTCCTCATGTCCAAATGCTCGGATTGTAGGCGCCCCCAAGAGAGTTTCACTGAAGTGGGAGATAACAGGGGAATGAGATGCTCCAGCTAACCGACGAATTTGTCGTGAACTAGCTATGTAGTATCTCTGACGGAACAAACACAGGCAAAAAAAAGTCTTCAAACTTCTTTCACACAGTCTTCAAACATCAGGAATAAGACAGAGTTGAAAATCATATAAATATTAATTTATAAACAAGTGATAGCCAACAGAGTTTTAATTCAGAGGAGAACAATGTCTGTCTTAGGATACATCTACACTAGGGAGGAGGTAAAGAGGTGGAAAAGGTCTATTTTCAACTTAGTCTAATCTAAATAGCTCAGATTAAAATAGCAGCGAAAAAGTAACCTAATACTAGTTCAGGTTAGCAGCTCAAGTTTAATCACAAGCTTCCCTTTAGGCGTGAACATGAACTGAAAACCCAAACTGGTATCTAAATTTACTCTTACTGGTACTTTTATTCATATAGGTTAGTCGACCTGAGTTAAGAACACGCCTGTTGCAACATAAGTGTGTATGTACATTTCTGGGAGGGCTAATGATACAAATAATATAATTTCCAATCATTCATGTTTTAAAACGCACAGAGACAGACAACTTTTTTTGCTGGGAAAGCTGCTGAATTGTTATTTCCCATATTTTGTTCACATATAGTTTCAAGTTTAATTTTACATTAATATAATGATGTCAGTTCTAAATTCCTTGACTTTAGACTATAGCCAATCACTTTGTGCCCCTCAACCATATTACTGCTAAAATTTTTTCCTGCTCTGAACTGTATGTCAATTATCATAAAATAAATGGTGAGAGTATGTAGCATGAACTGACCCTGGAGTAGAGCAAGGGAAACAGCGGATAAAAGGATAGGTTTTCTTAAACATTAAGTTACTGGTTCATTTTGTGGTAGTTTTTTAGATTTCTATTCTTCCATACTCTAACTGATATTCATGACTATCACCTGCAGTAATTCAAGGCTCTTGCTGTGAATTGCTACCCATGTTGTTTCAAAGCAGCACACACCCTGCTTAAATTTTTTTCATGATTGTTCTTGTTTACCCATGTTCCACGACTCATTCTTTCTTTAACAAATTATCATAAGTTATGTACTGCAAGGTAAAAAGGGGCAGGGCTTTATTTTACCCCAGCTCTCCTGCAGAAAGTGCCATTGTAGTAGCTGTTCTGCTCTTACCCTGTACAAGTGAAAGCTAATCTATGCCTATGGTAACATATCACTCTGTCAATAGCTCACATGAGATAAAAACCGTATTCCCATTTCAATCTACATGTCCATAATGAGAGGGTCTACAATAATCTTATATCTTGTATAAGCAAATAAAAGCTGGAATAGGGAAAGAAGTAACCTACAAAGAAGTATTGCGTAAGAAAATTCAACATGGGTTCAAATCAACATAGGCAGAAGCTTTGGATACTGGTGTGAAGCCTAAGATGCATTTTAGTACCAGTTTAAAAGTTGTTCATTTTTTTTTTTTTGGCATGATGGAATACCACTTGTGTTTGTAAGGTATTACATATTAATTATCTTCTTCCCCCTAAAACACTTGATTATTTAGCAACGAAAAGGCTCACTGACTGCATCTACACATGAAATGAAGGAAAAACAAACTCCAGAGCTGTTTGAGCCAGTCAGTTGCTCCCAGGTGCAGCATCTACACACGTGCTTGGGACAACAGCAATTTGAGCTATGGCAGAGCAGGTCCGGGCTGGCAGGGGTTATGGTGGGGTCCCGGCCTCTAGGTGGTTGCATTGGACAGTGGAGGGGTCAGCTGGGGCACGAGGGTGCAGAACCTACAGAGCTGTGTGGCTAGTTGGCAGCCAGGAGTCTGGCCCCTGCCTGGTCACTGTCTAAATGTGCATTTTAGCGCAGTTAATTATTCTGCTGTAAGACTGTACTGCCCCTGACAATACCATTTTATGGCAGAGTTAATTAGTTTACTGTGCCCTAATACCAGTGCAAGCATAGGCAGTGATGCCTTACTACTGAGCTAATTAGTGAACTCTGCAGTAAAGCTCATGTGTACATTAACCCATTGAGAAGAAGAGGTCTGGGTATTTTTTTAAGCATAACTTACACACCCACCCCGGATTATTATTATTTTTAATGTTAAGCATAGACACAACCCCCATTCCTAAATAATATGGAACACAGTGTTATTTCTTGTTAATAAATTAATCTACTTACTTGGATAGTAAAGTATAAGTATCCAAGGGGTATAACTATCAATATGAAGAGGGGTGAAGCAGATGTGATGACTAGGATGGTCCCAAGAACATCTAGTGTACAGTTTAACCAGGTCCGTAAGTAGTAATGAAAGCGCACATCCACCATAAACATGTCCTGTGATGTTACACATGCACAAAATAATTTTACTATCTCCTCACCCAAATTGGTTACAAATCTTTCTCTAGGAAGTGTCCTTGGCAAAGGAAATTAAACAACTAAAATATCTTAATACGCTCTTATGAATTTTGCTCAGTAAAGTTTGCTAGCAGCTTCTTGCCAGATGCCTAGCTATCCCAACAAACTGAACCATTTGAAACGAAGGCAAAGATACTTTGATGTATTCTGTGAAAGGTGCTACCTGTGAAAGCTTATACATTTCTGAATGAGTTAGTCTCCAACATACCACTCTGCTGTCTTATACCTGACATCAGACTAAAACAGCTTACTACCTCTCTCTAAAGAACTACTTACTAGGGCTGTGCAAAGCTTCGGTAGCCAATTTGATTTGGAGGAGATTCGGCAGCTGAATCTCAGAATCCAAAATAAATCGGGAGACCCATTAATATCTCTGAATCGAACTGGAAGCCTCCAAATCGTTTCAGAGATTCGGCCATAGACTGTACAGGCAAGCACTGCAGTGCTGGCAGGAGCAGCCAGATGAGCCCTGCTTGAGCCAGCAGCCCTGGGAGAAGCTGCAGCTCATCTGCCTGCACCTCCCCACCAGGGCAAGGCAGGCAGTGCTGGCAGCCCCAGGAGAAGCCACGAGGGCTGGGGGATTGTACTGGTAGCTGCGGGGAATGACCAGGGGCTGGGGCAACGAACAGGGGATTCCCTGCAGTCCCCAGTTTGATTCCTCAGCTCTCTGATCATTCCCCCTGCCCCTGCGGCTTCTCCCAGGACTGCCAGCACTTCCTGCCTCAGCCAGGGGAGCAGCCAGATGAGCCACAGCTTCTCCCAGGGCTGCCAGCTCAAACTGGGGCTTGTCTGACTGCTCTCCTAGCTGCTCTTGCCGACACTGCCTGCCTGTATAGTCTATGGCTGAATAAGATTTGAGGCCGATTAACTTCGGGTTCCAATTTAGCCAAATTAAATTGGGACAGTGATTCAAATCGCCAGATCAAATTGCTATCCCTCCAAATCACCAAATACAAAGCAAATACTTTCTACTTTGCCCAGGCCTACTATTTACCCTAGGAAAGGCTTACTAGGCTGAGAACCAGTAGATAAGGAGTTTCTCTCTCTACTTTTTCATGTATGCCTGTTAATTTCCACACCTTTGAACAATCCTTACTACTAATAAAGGCTTCATAACCCACTGAGGGGTTACACAAGCTAGATACAGAACCCGCATTACAAGAAAGCAGATTCAAGTCTTAGCTGCTTATTCATGTTATCGCTCAGAAAGAAGCAGCCAAATCTAAATAGTTGGTAATTCTGTTTGTTTTCAGATATAATGCATTTTCTTTAGGTCTAGTACACACAATAGGCTATTAGACTTCACTTTTTAAAATCAAATAATAAAAATCTGTACTAGTGCACTGTCTGTATTCAGGAATGGGGAGCATTCTTGTTATATGTAGTAGGCAACCATCAATCTTTTGGATCATGGCATATGTGTAAGGGGTCTAGTCACCAAGAACTTCTATGCATATAACTAGGCAAGAGTATGGAGGAATGGAGCCTGCCCAAGACCTACCATCCTCACTTTAGACCACTTAGACCTAATCCAAAGGCCAGACTGAGTCCAGACACTCAGTGCCTCAATGGATGTAGCTTCTGCCAGAGACCAACACATAAGAACTGCTGGTGACCTCTGCAAGGCCACATTTCTGTCCGGGTGTGTTCTCCAGCCAAGGACTACTTGCTGAATGAGGTGTTGGTTCGTTAAGAAAAACAGTCTAACTCTTTTGCAAAAATGTCTATCCCTCTCTGCTTGTCACCTGACACCAACAGGGAAGGAATCCTGCTTGATCTGCAAAACAAAGAGCACCTCACAAAGACACTCTTATGGACCCAGAGGGACAGATTTGCAGCTTTAGCAAAAATGAAGTTTATTTCCTACATATGGGGTCTTTTTTTTACCATCTTTAACTTTCCCTGAGCTTGATAAGGGGCATGTGAGCCTGAAAGCTTGCAGAAAAAGATTTAACTTTAATAAATACTTTAATAATACCATTTAATAAATGGTAACATATCTGAACCAAGAGTTCTAGATTTTTGCATTTCTTTTTGTCTCAGATCAAAAATGGCTACCAAATATACATCCCACTATAACTTTCGAGAACTTGAGTGTGTCACCTTAGTGTCCTTTTGGCATAGTTGTCTGTGATCTTTTATATGTAAAAAAACAAAAAACAAAAAAAAAATGTATTATGGCCTACAGAATTCTAATTGTTTAAAAATCAGGATAAATTTAAATTCTTGTTGATAAACTCCAGGTTTTAAGAGAGCTGCATGTGCCTTGAATAACTAATGATCACAGCTATCTGCAAAATTTTAAAGAGCCTCGGCCTGACAGAAACATATTCTATATCATTTTTCAGACTTCTTTCAACATGGAACAGTAGTTTAGTATCTGGTATTGCTTCTAATTACTCTATTTTTAAAATCCTTACATGGAGTTAAAGGTGCAGTTCTCTATTATGCTTTCAAAAATGGGAAACATCTTTAATTTGTTTCTTTTCTTTACCTTTGTGAATCTGTTGATGATTTGACCTACTGGATTAGTTTCAAAGTACTGGAGTGGAAGGTGCAGTACACTGTCTAACATCTGATGATGCAATACTCGAGAGGCAGAAAGAGATCCCCGGGTGATCACATATGCACCATAACATACTAGGAGACCTTGAGAATAAATAAAAAAGAGTCTCAGGGTTGTTTGTTTTTTTTTTTGTTTATCAGTAAGTTTTGGTCTCCTTGCCAGAAGATCAAACTTCAGGCTGGCACATTCACTGTAATGCTTGTTTTCATCCAAGCATTTATTCCCAGTGTGTTAATCTTACTAATTCAACTTCAAAGGGAAGTCTATTCTTCTGTTCACATATATGTAGCTTTCATATTAACCCTAGCTGTGATATCACCATTCATGGAAACGGACAGTCCATACCACCAATAAAATAACAATTCCTTGCTACAACAGTGCTTAGTTCCAAGAACAGTCACACTGGTAGTAGTTAGTATATTTTTTTCTTCCATTTTGTCTTTTCAATCCTTCACTTACTTTGCATTTAATTTGCATTAGAAGTCTTTAGTCTAATGTGCACTCCCCATTATAAAATATGGCCACTGTTGTCTGTCATTATCTTACAAGTTGCAATACTGACTGTAGGCTTACTAAGCTATAAAAACACTCAGGCAACTAGACTTTGAAAATACAGAGAAAATATAATGAACATGTATGCTTAACCTTACCTTGTATTAGTCCCAGAAGACCATAGATGCCGAGTTTATTGTCTCGTAACTGTTTCCATTCTGACAAGTCATTCATTTGTTCTACTTCTGCTGTCCAGGTACTAAGCCACAGATTTTGTCCTATGGCCAATGCATTTTGACCTAAATAAGCAGCCAGGCTTAACCATATCCAGAGCCACCCAAAGGCTTGCAGATATTTCAAAATAATTGACATTTCCGTCTAAATACAAGAGAAACAGGAGTTATTTATAGAAACTGTTAGGGGTGCACCAATAGAGATTTTGGGGGTTGATACCAATAGCCGATTTTTAAGGAGGCATATTGGCCGATACCAAGCCGACTTCTGATATGCAGCCTGGCAGCTTGAAGAGCAGTGTCTGGCTGGTAAGTTTGTTGTGGTAGAAGGGGCGTTGGGGTTTGGAGGGACAGATTAAGGCCCTTGTGGTGCAGGAGGGAGCGAGGCAGGGGCTGGGGCAATTGCTGCCCAGCTGGGGTGGAGCGGGGCAGGGCACGGAACGGAGCTGCAGTTTGTCTGGAGGGACAAGGGGTCCAGCTCCTGCTGCTGCGCACACCCTGGGAGGCATGGGGGGGGCATGTGCCCCAGATCTGTGAGGGGTGGGGCAGCTGCCGCTGTGCGCTGGGACCAGGGCTGCTCGGGGCTCTTCCCAGCAGGGGCTGGGCTGGGCTGCAGGCACGGGCGGTGCTGGGAGGGGGCTATGGGGAGGGCTGCAGCCACCCCAAAATTGACCACAGCCCTCCCCCCCTCAGCACCACCACTGCCCACCCTGAGTACAACCCAGCCCAGACCCTGCCAGGAAGAGCCCTGCACAGCCCCGGCTCCAGCCTGCCCTGCACAGAACCAGGGGCACATGCCCCCCCAAAATGAGCTACTCACAGCTCCATCCCGTGCTCTGCCCCAGCTGTGCAGCCCCAGCCCCACTCCCTCCCTCACTGAGGGGGCTTTGATCTGCCCCCTCCACCCCCGTTCCCTTCCACCACACCAGACTTACTAGCTACACGCAGCTCTCCAAGCTGCTGGGCTGTGCTCCTCGCTGCCTATGTGCTGCGCTGCAGTTGTGCTCATACATAGGGCATTTATCTGCCACATTATCAGTCACATCAGACTGATTTTTCGATACAGTCGATTTTCTTTATATTGGTGCTGATCTGATATTGGACCGATACACCTCTAGAAACTGTTAAAAGTTGAACCTACTTTATGTTAAAGGATTTTGATGTACTTTTTCAGATTTTATATTGTGAAATATGATAATTATAAATCCATAAAACCAGTATTTTGGCACTCTGAATATCAACTTCCCCCAACACTCCTTACCCTCTTAATGGCTTTTAAGAGGCAATCTTAATTCTGCTATTTCCTAACTTTGAACTTTAATAATTAACTTTTTAATGTAGGGAATTTCAATGCAACTTCTTAGAGATTATTTTTTTGAAAGGAAACTGAAAAGAAACAAAGAAAGTAAATCCCAAACCTAGCACACTGATACTTGTAGTTGTTATCAAGATTGAAGCCTTCAGATACACTGCATACATCTGAACTGAACCAATAGAATAAAAGACAGCAATAATAGGTTGTCATTCTTTCTTGTAGTTTTAGCACTAGATGGAGGTGAAATACTGTCAGGGGTTTCAAAGGTATTTTTCCTTGTACTTACACTGCCAGTAGGAACTGTTTCTTTCTTCATTGGGAATGCTTTCTTTTGATCCAAGAAAGAACTGGAAACAACAATGCTAAATAAATATTACTCATCATATAAATCAAGAAAAGGTAACACAATTATCTTCAACAAAAACATGGATGATAATAATAATAATGTGAATTCATCTTCCAAGCAATTCATAATTGTTAAAATAGCTGGGTGGCCAGGCACTGGAACTAGAATACAGTGCTTTAAGTGTACAAACATACAATTAAATGTGTCTGTACTATTAGTCTGTTTATTTCATAGATTTCATAGACATTAGGGCTGGAAGGGACCTTGGAAGAGCATCAAGTCCAGCCCCCCACCTGTTTAGCTAGAGAGCAGCATGGATTCCAAAGATTTTAGAACAAAAGCCTAGATACTTGTGTGAAAGAGAGCCAAGGTGATGCAAGAAGTCTGCCTCCTATCTCACCCAAAATCTAGCATGATATGTGCCCTCAGTGCACAAGCTGGGGACAGATCTA